CCCCAAAACCCCAAAACCCCAAAACCCCAAAACCCCAAAACCCCAAAACCCCAAAACCCCAAGATGGGAAAATACCATTGAGTATTTTAATTTTGACTTAAAGATGAATCTATTTGCTTGTTGAAATTTGTGAATCTCTTGAAAATGATCCGACAGAATCATGGTTTAAGGTCTCTGTTATAGACATATTAGAAGTGTCAGTAATGGCCAAATTGTATTGGACTTCATTTTCTTCTTTCTTCCTTTCAATCTGGTGAGAGATATTTCTAACACCCATTCAGAGGAATATTGTTGGGATAATTTCTGTGATAGTGAAGTAGGAAAACATGAGCACAGGATACCAGAACGAGTTATTTCTGAGCCATTGAGCTCTAAACCTGACATTCAGGTCTATCCAAAAATATGCTATATATTAAGAAAGGTTCCTACCAACATTCACAAATCCTCTCAATATAAAAGTTATGGAGATTACTAAGATACTTAAAAGAATCCTCATTCTGATTTTCCTTGCTTTTTCCTCAAAGAACTTTTTATACTCTCTGTAGAATTTCCATCCTACAAATATGAAGACCACTCCAATGAGGAAGAAGGTTATTGCATAGATAAGTGTAAAGGTTCGAGCTAAAACCACCTCACTTTTATCAAGTGCTCACATTGCAATTACAAATGCGATGTATGCAACTAGTACTAGTCCTGAAAATGAAGCAAATACTATATGATGAACAGTCTGCTTTTGTCTAACTCCCGTTATAAATTTCCTCATTCTTAGGGTCTGATATATCCAATTGAATATATTTACAACGATGGCAGAGGAAAACAGAGTTGATGAAAGCCAATAAACAGGAGCTTCTCCTCATCTTGATGGTGAGTGGCTTCATTCTCCTTGCCTCCAGAAAAATTCAGTTATAAAATATCCCAATCTTGCAATGGAAGAGAGAGTCACTAGAAATAAGAAAAGGGTTTGCAGCTTATTTCCGAGTTTTGAAAATCAGACAGAATTTAGTTGTCCACCATCAAGTTAGCATCACTGTTACTACAGACAAAGCAAGTAAGAATCCTAGATACACCTATACCACCACACATTAACCCTGCTTTCCCTTCTTCGCCACCCTATTACCTACCTTATATGCAATTCAATTATCCTTAGTCTCTTCATCAGGGTCATCACTCGCACTAAACCCTAGTTCTTTTACCACTTCCATTGAAGTTCCTTATTATTATAACTTCCATACTCAAAGTTCCAAATGGGGTTTTGGGGTTTTGGGGTTTTGGGG